GGACTCCTCATCGAACTACAACGAACCTGGTAGAAATCAACTTGTTGCATATATTAGCGTAGGAGATATAAATGTATTTCTAATAGTCTTAGTGCTCCATAGAAGGTGTTCGAAATCTGTTCTTTAAGTTACAGTTGCTATAGTTTCAACAATAAAGTTGCAGGCACCACAGTTAAATTAACTTATTCAGGCAGAACAGATGAGGTGCTTTTACTGACACGAGAGAAGGCGGTGCAGGAAGCACTCCAGGAAAGCCATTTTTTCTTTCTGTTTAGAAACTCCAGTTTTCCTCGCAAAAACAGGGAAATCTAGAGTCCCAGCAGCAAAAATAAAATGGATGAGGTTCCAACCTCCAGGATGCAAAACTGCACAAATCAAACGAGTAACTCTTCCTTCAGATACTGACCTCTTAGCACTATCACTACTGCCAATTTGCACGTGCAGTTGTACTCAGCTCTGGGAAATGGCTGTCCTTAATTCCTTCTTATTGCTACTCTCTCTTGCCTATGAGACAACTGCAAAGCTCCCACTCCAGCCCGCACGTGTTCTCAGAAAACAGCTGATGAGCTGCACACGACGTGAATTCCTTCCTTCTTCATCCTGGACACTACTTCTGCAGCCATCAAACCATGAAGAATACTCACATTTCAGGATGGTGATTAAACTGGAGCATTACTGCTGCAGGCTCTGACAGCATGCCCTGCATGATGGAGGTGTCAGAGAGGATGCATTTAGGGAGGGAAGCACAGGCCTGCAACAGGCTATTGGAATCACCCCTGAGTTCCTGAAAAGCCAGGGAAAAATTGGGCCCTGGCACAGAGGATGGAGCTGCTCTCATCCTGAGCAGCCCTGCCAAGGACAGAGAGATGCTGTGAGCATTCATCAAGGTCACAGCACGGTTATCCGGCTGTGCTGCACGCCTGGCAGCTTTCAAAAATACCTGAATGTTTGGATGCAGTGTAAGGCATGGAGAGGAGTAAGCAGTCTGACATTACCTGGTGCCAGGGAAATACAACTGAATAGAGAACTCAATGTAAAAAACACGCCAATTCACACACTTCTGTTGCCTTCTTTTCCCTGTTCTATTCAGGCCATATTCCACTCTCACCTTTCACAACTGCTCTTTTTCACTCTTCACTCCCTACACTTCCTTCCTTTTCTACAGAAAGTGACTCCTAATCTGATTTCCAGGCTTCACAGCTGCCCTTGACTTCCCACTTTTACAGCATCCCCCTCCCTATAAGCCATTTTCTACAAGGACTCCCAGCATCCTGTTTCCCCCAGTTCTTGGTCCTTGCTTTTTGGCTCCAACACAAATGTACACACATTTTCTAAATTAAAACGAATAGCCACTGCAAATACAACCAGTCATTTGCCTTACTTCATAAATCTTCATGATTAAAATAAAATTAAAATGCAACAGAAAAAGCATCTTTCCCCTTTTTACTGTTCTCCATCCCTTCTTTTATTTCTTTGGGGTTCTCAGCACTTGATCACAGAACCAAACTGAAAGTCATTCCAAACAGGCCCGGCCCATTCTCCTTTAACCTCTTCAGCCTCTGCTGTGTTTTTGCAGCAAACCACTCCTGTCACCTCTCAGGGCTCAGTTCTACACATCACTGCTAACTACCTCTGTCCCATTAACAAAATGCAGAGCCTTTTCTCACAGAGCTGCTCTCCCTGCTGGGCTGATTGCCAAGATATTCAGAAGTTCTCCACTGCCCGCTTTCATCCCACAGCTGCATCTCTCAAGTGGGGCAGCCATGCAGTTTATCACACCAGCTCCCCTCTGCTCCAACAATCTTCAGCTTGCCAGGGGGTTTCTATGACCAAGACACGTGCAGAAAACCTTGGAAGCCTGAGCCAAGCAAATTACATCAATGCTCAGTGATGACAGTGCGCCAGTGCTAATTAATTCCCTGCCAATCAGTTTATCAGGAACACTCAGTTGTGTGCTCATCTTTCACTTCCCTCCTGTGTCTCCAATGCCCCACTTTGCCTTCCTCCCCTGCTGACATGTCAGAGTCCCTTCTCTTCCCCTAAGTAGCTTAAAGAGGTGGCAACAGCTCTAGGAAACAATGTAATATAAGCCATAATTAAAACACAGTGGTAAAAAGAGTGAGAAAGCACAGTATAGGCTTAAGGCATCAAATTAAGATGATTTAGATCCAGCCTGGAGCATCTTCGTTGTTGCTCAACACGGAAACGTTGACCAGTGTCTATCTGGAACAGCAGCTGGAACAGTGCAATGCTGGAAAGTTACGTTCCTTCTCCTCCCTTTCTTAGGAAGGCTGGAGAAGTAAAACTGGATCCAAGAACTCCTTCTTTCACAGTCAGATAGTGATAGGACAAGGGGGAATGGCTTTAAACTAAAAGATGGGACATCTAGGTTAGATGTGAGGAAGAAATTCTTTACTCGGAGGGTGGTGAGGTGCTGAAACAGCTTGCCTGGAGAGGGTGTGGATGCCCCATCTCTGGATGCATTCAAGACCAGGTTGGGTGGGATCCTGTGCAGGCTGATCTAGTGGCTGGCCATGCCACCCATGACAGTGGGGCTGAAACCACATGATCTTCAAGTTCCCCTCCAGCCTAAGCCATTCTTCTCAGCTAGCACTGATCTGCCAACAGCTTTTTGGCAGGACGGTCCCTCCCATTGCCTTCCTTGCGCTCCATCCAGCCAGCAACCAGGCTCCTCCAGGAACTCAGAGCACAGAGCAGAATGACCCACGTGCCAGCCCTGACCATGCAGCAGAGGCAGCTGATTGGAAGAGGAAATGCGTTCTTTAAAGGAGAAGTCTTTTGCTGCTTCTTAGGATCTGGCTTCTGTGTAAAATTACACACAAAGAAACTCTTGCAACACGTAGACAGCGAGGAATTCAGATTAGGGAAGTACAGATAAGTGGAGACAGCTCTGAACCAAGCTGCAGATCCTCAAGCACATGCCATGAGATGAGCGCAACAGGCATGTACTAGGAGCTATGGGAAGAAATAAAACAAACCACCACCCCTGAAGAGCTGCTGAACTCTGCTTAAACTTTTTATTTGACGTAGATCATCTACATGATTTTAACACTTGACTTTTGAGCAGGGAGGGGAGGTGAATGGCTGCCAGCATAGCAAATGAACTCCTATCAGAAAAGGGAGAATCTGGACTAACTGACCCTGAATGGAAAAAAGAAACTAGAGCATTTTAAAGTGGTGAATTTAATTCAAAACTATCAAAACTCAGAAGAGCCAAAAGCTCTCCTTTTACATCCTCACTACTGTCGTGCCTCTTAGATCTATTTTCAGTACTTCTCATTCACATCACGTGGGTATATAAAACGGTGGCAATGCACTTTAATAATCTTAAATCTCAGAGGTGTTGAGATCTGCTGTGAGCCCACAGCTCTACGTCTGAGCAGCAGCAGTGCTTGGTGCAGAGCTGGGAACGCTGCTCCATGGGCTGCTTCCTGCTGCCAACCTGAAGAACAGTGATCAGGGATTACAACTTATCTGAGACAAACTTGCATTTGATTTACTGAGTGAAGCTTTCCAACGCTTCTCATCACATTCCTTTCATCTCCTCCTGGCTTGTGCACAGCCAAATGCTGCTGAACCTGAGAGGCCTTTGTCATCCTGTGCAGAAGATGGGAAGCAGCACCCCAAGGTTGCACAGAACACAGTGGTGCTGAGCAGGGCCACTGCACAGATGGCAAATATTGCCTGACCTAACCTGGATGGCTAGGAAAGATGAATAAAGCAGGAAAATACAGGGCAGTTTACTAAAGGTTTAGTTCATGACTCAACAGTCTAAAGTTTGCCCAAGAAAGGCTGGCAACCTGAAATGGATGTAAAAATAGTGTCCTTCTTTTTTTTTTTTTTTTTTTTTTTTTTTTTTTTTTTTTTTAAAAAAA